CATAGAGTATCATTGCTTACACAAATCATCTATACACAACTACATTGCAGACATAATGCAGTTTGACACCACTTTAACTGTCATGGCTCAGTGCTTTGGGATTCTGGGATTTGTTTTTTGAGATATTTAGTCTCCACTGTCATAGCACTTTATCACGTGGGGGAAATGCCATGCAGAAATGGGGTTTTAAATAGCAAAAACCCGCAAAAGCGGGTAGATTTTTAGACAACATTGATGTTAAAGTGTGCTTAACCCAAACAAAGTAGTCAAAAGCCGCATCTTTTTTACTTTCAGAAAATCCTAGCTTTTAAATCCCATTTCTGCACAGGATTTCCCCCATGTGATAAGGTCCACAGACTCTGGTGCCAAAAGAAACTACAAATCCCAGGATTCCACAGCATAAACCATAACACTTAAAGTGGTGTCAAAGTGTATTATTTCTGCGGTGCAGACTATATAAACTCCTTTCCCGTTTAATGGATTTCCAGTTACCTTCTCTTTTCCTAAAATGGAATTAATCTTGCAGAGAACCACTCCTAATTTGAAAACATTTTTCTCCCCATTCAGTTCTGTAGACCTATTTTTGTTTGTTTTTAAGTCTTTTTCTACAGAGCGATGTTCCATTTACATTAACAATGCAATGTTCCCAGCAAGTTTAGTGGCATTCAACAGTGGGACAGTGCTTTAAAGGACTGTAATGTTCAAATTTCCACCAACAATCAGATAACCACTGATCATTATTTTTGCAATTCATGTATTCATTACATTTCTATTGCTCTGTTTCTCTAGTGAGTTCAAGGTATTATTGCATATATCAAAAATCTGAGGCTATCAAAAATGGGAGATGTTGCCACCCAGTGGATTATAGAAGAAGAACTGAAAAGGGAACAAATAGCGACCATGGAATATTGTTAAGTAAGCATTTTCATATCATAGGAACATATGAAGCTGCCCTATAATGAGTCAGGAAATATTGATCCATCTGCCCCCACTGCAAAATTGAATTACAGGTTCAGTCTCCCTTATCCAGAATTTCGAAATACGAAATATTCCAAAACCCAACACTTGTTTCATGGGTGGCTAAGATAGTGACATTGTTGCTTTCTGATGGTTCAGTGTACACAAATTTTGTTTCATGAAAAAAAATATTAAAAACGTTATATATAAAATTACCTTCAGGCTATATAGATAGATAGATATAAGGTGTATGTTGTCACTGTGTGCCTTCAAATCATTTCCGACTTATGACTACCCTAAAGCAGACCTATTAAACATAAATGAATTTTGTGTTTAGACTGGGTCCCATCTCCAAGATATAAAATTACCTTCAGGTATATATAAGGTGTACGTTGTCACTGTGTGCCTTCAAATTGTTTCCAACTTATGACGGCCCTAAGGCAGACCTATTAAACATAAATGAATTTGGTGTTTAGACTTGGGTCCCATCTCCAAGATATCTCAGTATGTATGTATATGCAAATACAAGTATTCAAAAATTTTTTAAAAAAATTCAAAATCCCAAACACCTTTGATCCCAAGCATCTTGGATAAGACTTAACCTGTATTTTGCTAATGGTACAGAGAAACAATTATGCTGTTTGGCTGAATCTGTCAAGACTAACCTTTTAAAGTCTCTAGGACAGAGGTAAAAAGTCTTTGGCCTCCAAATGTTTTAAACTACAAGTCTCACAATCCCTTACTACTGGCCATGTTATGTGAGGCATCCAGAAGGTGTAGTCTAAAATATCTGGAAAGGCAAAGGTTCCCCACACCGGAGGTAGAAGCTGAATGCAAACCAGTCTGGACTCTTTTGAGAAAGCATTCAAGTTATGTAATACACAGCTGTTCTGAGTCAGGTCTTTGCAATTGTTTTGCAATCTTTCAGAAATATGATGATTCAAAAGCTTGCACATAGTAATCTCCTTCAGTCGGCACAGAAACTAAGCAATAGGTAAGTGTGTCTGACAATCCAAGCGAGGATGTCTTGATGCAACAGACGAGGCTTACCCATTCTTGTGGCTTCGGCCTAATAAAGCCTTCTCCACATAGCAGGCTGGGCAGGTATATCTTTTGTGAGATCTAATCTGTGGCATGGTTTGTTTTTTTACTAGAACCCCACAAACCTCCAAACAACTCAAGGCAAAAAATGTAATTTGCATTTTAAAAAATGAGTCCATTAATTTGTTCTGAATTGTTCAATCTCACTGCCGTTCACACAAACATCCATTCTTGGTTACCCTCCTAGCTTTCTTTTTTGTTAATAGTGCAACTTGGGGAAGGTTAGGGTTCTTCCATTTTCATTTTGCATGTCCTTGCTAAAGAAGTGGGAATTTTAAATCATTCTACTTCAAGCAACCCACCTTTTTACGCGAAGATGTTTGCTCATACTTTTTAGACCTAAGTGCTAATGGTGATCAGTTTTCAGTGATGAGGATGATATTTAATGCTTTTATATGTTATGATTTCAGTTGCCTTGGGTCTTGCGCCAAGAAGAAAGGCAGGATATAAATTAAATTTTTAAAAAAGTATAAACAGCTGTAGTTTGTGAATTACCCAGTTATTGGGCAGTATAGAAATATGGCAGTCAAAATGCTTCAGCTTACACCTGTCATACAAGCACTATTTTGGCTCCTGGTTTTTTTGGCCTTCCTCCTCCACCCTTTTGTTTTTGTTTTTAAAATAAAAACTGGAATCCTGTTAGTGACAACTGCATGCTTGTGTGTGTGTGTGTGTATATGTGTCCTTTCAAGTCACTTGTCGACTTATGGAGACACTGTGAATTTCATAGGGTTTTCTCGACTGCTGCCCCTAGGCCAAGGGTAGGCAACCTTT